CTTTTTCCCTTCTCTCCTCGCGACTTTCTTTCCCTTCTCTCTCCTGAAGCTCTCGACTGAGGCTGCTGGCTGCCGCCCTTCTTTTTCTCGTGAAGATCTCGACTGAGGCTGCTGGCTGCCTCCCTTCTTTCTCTCCTCAAGATCTCGACTGAGGCCTGCTGGTAATTTGTTCATCTCTTTTTTCTTCTTCTCTTCTTTTCTTCATCTCTATTCTCTGCTGCCTGCTCTTTTCTTCTTAGTTCTTACTGACTGCTGCCTCTGTTTTTTTTTTCAATTATTTTGTTTTTTTTTAATTTTGTGATCAGTGTGTATGCTAGCAGCCTTTTTTTATTATTTTCTGAAACTTCCTTTTGTTTGTACTATTTTGTGATTTAATTATGTTTTTGATTTTTTGCTTTATATGTTATAACTTGAGAGTATTTTTGCCTAAGTAATTTCTTTCAATCTAAGACTATATTACCTCTTTTTAGTTATTTAATATTTTTTTATTTTTATACTAAATGTCGCTTTTTCAAAAAAAAAAGCGCGCGCTTCGCTTCATGCTTCTCGCTTCTGTGAAGCAAGCCCTCGTCGCTTTTTTCCGCTTCTCGCTTCCCAAAACACTGGTTAGAAGAGATGTGTTTAAGCCAGGTTCTTACTCAAGTTCAGAGACACATATATGTTCTCTGTCTCCATGCCAGATGATTTTATCTTTCTATGGATGCTTTATAGCCAGTCACAGTGTTTTCTTATCCTTTAATTACAAGGGTTATATGAGGTCATCTCTTTTTTCAGGCCAACACAAAAGTCTTACAACATCTTGCTAGATGCATTTGCTATCTCAGGAATGGTAGAACAGGCTCGGACTGTCTTCAAAAGCATGCGAAGAGACAGGTGATGGGTTGTGTTTACATTTCCATGAAGACTTCTTTTAACTTTACTATTTGTATTTATTCAAGAACTTCTATGCGTTGTTTTTGGGCTCCAGAGGTCTGATCAAGGAGTCCTCCAAAGTAGACTTTTGATTTTCCGTCTTTCCTTGCAGATGTAGCCCTGACCTTTGCTCATACACAACAATGCTATCAGCTTATATTAATGCATCAGATATGGAAGGTGCAGAGAAATTTTTCAGAAGAATAAAGCAAGATGGATTGGAGCCCAATGTTGTTACATATGGCGCACTGATTAAGGGATATGCAAAAACAAATGACCTCGAAAAGATGATGGAGAAATATGAAGAAATGCGGGTTCATGGTATCAAGACTAACCAAACTATCTTCACTACAATCATGGACGCGTATGGTAGGAATAAGGATTTTGGCAGTGCCGTTGCTTGGTTCAATGAAATGGCATCTTCAGGTGTCTCTCCTGATCAAAAAGCAAAGAACATTCTCTTGTCCTTGGCAAAAACATCTGAAGAACAGATGGAAGCTAAGCAAATCACAGGATGTGCCAACGAGCTGATAGTCGACAGTATTTCCAGTAACATCAATGATAATGATGAAGACGAGTATGACTATGATGATGGAAGTGGTGATGATGATGATGACGACGACGACGACGATATCGATGAAAAAGAGAGCATTTTGTCAGGAGAAAAATTGGATCAACTGATAATTAGTGGTAGTGCTGCATCTCAGACATAAGAAAGTACTGCAAAATGAAGGCAAAAATTTTGTAAATCTTGTTTGTTTATAGTATTATTCTTCTCCCCCTTTTGTATTGTTATCTTAGAAAGTAAAAATGTGAAACTCCAGAAAATGAATTTTGACTTTGAAAATCAAGCAATGTTCAGCTTAAGGTTTTCAATATCATGATATTATGCTATCTGTATGCTAAGTTTTCTTGCTCTCAGTGTGCATTTATAGGATCAAATATTAGGCTCCTGAACTCATGGTTTATCTGTAAAATAGTTATTTCCTGTACATATTTTCCAGAATTGGTATAAAATCATTGGTGTCATTTCATACTATAAGTAAGGTAAATACAATGTAATTTTCTAAAATTGGTATAATATGTAATTTTAATTTATTATATGAAACATGTATAAATGATCAAATACACACAATTTTGTATTATTACATTTTTTTTGGGTCAGAAGAATTTGTATTGTTGAGTTTTATTTGCACTGATTTCTTACCATAAATAGGTTTTCCTTTTAGGAAAAGTTTCCGGATTAAACTAATTTTTTTCTAGTAGGAAAAGGTTTAGGGCTCTATAAATACAGACATGTTCCTTCTAACTTAATTAGCATTCACAATGTAGTCTTAAGGGATTTGAGAGTTTTGGTTAGGGGGAGAATTTATGGGTCACAAGCTTGATACGTTATCGCTTGTGTGAACCTCTCATGTATTCCGAGTGAATTGGTTGAGGTTGTTTCTCTCTGTATTTTTGTACTCTCATATTTATAGTGGATTGCTCATCTCCTCTGTGGACGTAGGTCGATTGACCGAACCACGTTAAATCTTTGTGTCTTTTGGTATATTTCTTGTTGTCTTCTTACTCGTGGTCTTTTGAGGTTTGCATTGCTAGCTTCGCATTTACACCTGCTTATTTCCGGTCCTAACATGTATTACTACTCTCTCTATAGTCTATTCCATATTAATTAAATTTTGTTACTATACAAAATAATTGAATTGTTCAAAGTTCACGATAGATACTTAATTATTATCATAATGAGCGTGCTAAGTCAAAATGTGACAAATAAAAGTGAACAGAGGAGTATTTATCATTTCACAGAAAATAGTAGCGAAAAATATGATTTAAGTTGTCTTTAAATAGGCCAGAAATATTAAAAGTCTATAATATTTTTTTTTAATTTTAAAATCAACTGATTTTTTTAAGGTAGCAAAATTAAAAAGATAAAAATGTTTATAAGATTAAATAACATATTTTGAATATGTTATCTTATGATTTTAGCTAAATTCTGATCAAATTTTCCGATGAAATAGAACTATTGGAGTTTGGTTAACTTCCTTCCTCTTCCTCTCAATAATAAATCATAACAAAGGGTAAAAATCATACAATTGTTTGCTGAACTATTTCCTGGGTTAAATCACGAATTTAAGAAACTGATGAAAATTTTTAATTTTTTTTAATCTTAAGCTAAAAACAGGTAGAATAAACCAAAATGTTATTTCATCTTATGATCCTTAACATGTGTATAAGCAAATTAAAATGAAAGGATTATCTTTCTGAAAATATTTTAATAAGGTTTTATCATGGATCAATTTAAACTACAATCAACCTAATTTGAAGATGAACTGAATTATTGTGGTCATTGATTTTATATGAATTCAGTGCTTAAAGGACAAAAAAATTGATAAAAATTTCAAAAGGATATATCAAAAAAATTTCTTATCAAAACAGTAAAATCGCTATTGATGTAATGATTTATTTAGGGTGTTAAGAAAAATCGTTGCTGTAGAAGCGATTTGTGCAATTTTTATTTTTAATTTTAAGTCGCTGTCTTCGCAGCAATTTGTTAAATAAAGAACTTTTGAAACGATTTTAGTTTAATTTTTTTAAATTGTGTTGTAAAGCGATCTTACTTAAATCGCTCCTAAGACAATTTACAATATACAATTTAAAAAAAAAGAAATAAAATCGCTGCAGAGGCAGCGATTTACTATTTACTATTTTAAAAAATTAAGTAAAATAGCTGCAAAGGCCACGATTTACTATAAAAAAAATAATTTAAGTAAAATCGCTGCACAGGCAGCGATTTACTATTTTTTTTAAAAAATAATTTAAGTAAAATCGCTGCAAAGGTAGCGATTTACTATATTAAAAAGATTTAGTAAAAATTTACAACACAATTTAGAAAAAAAAAACTAAAATCGCTGTGAAGACAGCGATTTACATCACAAATTCAAAAAAATTTTAACTAAAATTGATGCAAAGGTTACAATTCATAATATATAAAAAAAAACAAATTTCATTAAAAAATTGCTCTCTTGGCGGCGATTTGTTAAAAAATAAACATAAAATAATAATAATAATAAATCGCTTCCTTGGCAGCGATTTATTAAAAAATAAACATAAAATAAAAACAATAATAAATCGCTCCTAGAGCAGAAATTTTTCTTAACGCCAGCCAAATAAATCTCTATATGAGTAACTATTTTACCATTTTGATTAGAAAGTTTTTTAATATAACCTTTTGAAATTTTTGTTTACCCTTTACACTCCAAACTCGATTTTATATATACATGAACGAATTACACGAGTCATATTTGCATGAGCTAATTTTAACGCATTGCAGGTGTTTAGTGACCATCAGTCCTATAATGTGACAAGATGACTGTGTGTCCATACATTTGGTGAATAGAAAACAGCTGCATCCAGCTAAATCAAAGGTAAGAGGACCCTACAAATACATTCTTCAATAAATTATACATTTTACCTATAAAGGACTTTGATGTAACTACTCAACCAAATATTTTGTTATTTTATTCTTTATAATTTTATTAATTCTCACAATAGAATATCTTATCTATATTTTTTTTAAATTAACTGATTTTAACTTCACACGAAATTTAATAGACTAAAGTAAATTTCTCTTAACTGCTCTAATATGCATTACTCAAACCGAATCTTTCGAAAACAATCTACTACCTCTGCAAAGTAAAGAGTAAAATTTGCACCTCTGCTCCCTAGACTCTACTTATAAGACTTCAATGGATTTGTTTTCCGTAGAATGTATCAAAGAATTCTTTAAATCTTGCAATCTTAAACATATCATATACACAAAACGGAAAACTAAAACAAACAAATTAAAACAGGGAGGTAATACTTTCTTAGAAGTTTAAATGAGACTTGAGAAGATAAGCAAACTTGATATTTCTGCAGCTGATCACTAGAAGGTAGTTCCAGTCTTATCAATAATAAAATATTTATAATTTACATTGTACTTCTCTGGGGTAACAAGCTACAAATGAGACTTGGCCCTTGTCTTTAGATAGAAAAGATACATGACACTTAAGACACAACATGGTACAAAAAATTTGCAGACATTAACCAAGGGCAACAACAACTATACAGTACAATTACCTTAGGCAGATCACACTAATGGTCATTAGTAGTCAAGTGACCCCAATGGTATCCCGTTCATAGTATTTCGGGAGCCCTTCTGGTTCATATAATCATCACATCCATTGACATTGCCAGGAAGCGTCTGCGCTTGGACACCATTTGGAAGATCAAGTCCCTCTTTCCCTATCTGTTGCACTTCATGTGGAGAAAGTATCTTGATGTACCAAACATTGTTCACAAACTCCCTAAAGCGAGATAGAGATGGGTCAAAACTAGATATACTAAAATAAACAGACGTGTGGAGTAAAACTTCCATCTAAGTGCAACTATGCAGATCTAAATTCTTGTATAAAGAAAATTGCAGACATAGATAAGTGAAATATGATGTGTGTCATACAAAATGTCAACAATTGGCCCACAGAACTTGAGTATACTAAGCCTAATAATACTCGTAACAAAAAGTACTCTAATGTTAATCTTTGAATGGCCAACAGAGAAAACCAATTTGTGGAAGCTGTTTAATGATTTAAAACTCAACATAAAGTAACCAATACTTGGCCTTTTGTTTTGAAAAAGATTCTTGAGATGTCACTAAGTAATGAAGAATTTCAAAATGAAGCAAGATAGATGGAGCAGATTCATATTTGCCGATATAATAGGGATCGACATGTAAAACTAAGAGTCTCTTTTTTCCTTTTGCATTAACAATTGCAGTGGCCATCTTATATGCACCTCATCTAATGTATCAGGTAACTACTATCTTCCACCAACACAGACAATGAATGGACAATTCAATTCATCAAGACTATGACCAATGAACATAAATCACCAACTTTTTACCACCTCTGCTAGGATTTGAACATTAATCTCCCATAATTCATTGGAGTCAGCATAACAAAAGACTGAATTAAATAGGCGGCAAGATGAATATGTCATATATATCCAAAAAATCTCAATTTGAAACTATGCTGCCATAGATTTTAGGAGCAGTTTTTGAAAATTTATCTTCAAATATTTTCAAGCTCTCAAAAACTGTCCTTCCACTTGCAAGTTCACCTTTTCAGGTAAATTGCACGTCAAAATACAAGTTCAAAAATTCAAATTTTCAAATTTCAACTTCGAAATCTATGGCCAAAAGGGAGCTCGGGGCAGGGGGGAGAGATACAGGGAGTCTAGGGCTATAATTTGACCAGCCCCTACACCCCACAGAACGGGGGGAAATATAAAAGAGACTCCGGGCAGGGGGAGAGAGACAGGTTGTACTGGAAAGCTTATAAAAGAAAAGAAGTGATCAAATTCTTACTGCCAAGGATCGTCACCGAGGAGGAGGACATCATTCTCTCGGTCAACAATTACAAGCTGCCAACCTGATCTCTCAGGGTCCTCCAACAAGCCTTCTAGCCCAAACATGCGAGCAAGCTCACTTCGAAGTTCGTGATAGCTGCTAAATTTGGAGATATCGAGTGACCGTCCAAAGGACCCTGATTTTTGAACCTGCAAGAAACATGCTGTGAGAAACAACATAATGCGCTGAGCATTCCCTCTTTTAAAAGCTTTTAAACTAAACAGAGTGTTGTTAGCCCAAACAATTCAGATAACAAAGAATGAATTGTATATCGAACAAGCTTATAAGCTCACCTTCACAAAGATTCTATTAGTTGGGTTTGCTTGGTCCCCATTTTCGGAGGACTGCAAGAAACCTGATTCATCTACACAACTTGAAGCTGTCATGTCTGAGTTAAGGGGGTACTCATTGCCCGCAGTACTTGTGAAGGTAGAGGTAGCATAATGAATAGATAAAGATCCATTATCACCACTACTACCCTTCATGTTGGACATACCGGTCTGCAGTATGTTCAAAAAGTCTGTAAATCCATAGAGTGCATTGCTTTGGCTATCGTCTACTCCTCTATAATCAGAAAACGATTCTCTACTAGGAAAAGGTGGCAGTAAAGAGGAAAGATCCGAGACCTTTGTATTGTGCGCTATCACATCCTCAGGCTGGGACACCACAAATGGAGTAACCCGAGAAGGGAGCTGAGATTCTAGAGCAATTCGCTTAGATGATGAGGATGAAGATACTAGAGGGTGAGTTTCATGCATGTTTAGGACAGCAGATGCTCCATCACGGGAAAATGAACTCAACAGACTTTGCATATTAGAATTACTAGATGCATTGACATGGTTACCCAGTATATCAGAAAAGGTTTGCAGGGAACCAGTCGAACTTAGGACTTGCAAATGAGAAAGATGGGGCTGTGTGGCTGAAGCCATCTGAGAGAGACCAGATATGGTCTTAGTTTGCTATTGATGTTGAAACTGCGAGTTCACTTCTTGGTGCTGCTAAAGCTGTGGCTGTAGCAATTGCTGTTGATCATTGAAGTTTTGACGGCGCTGTAATTGCTGCTGAAGCATCTGCGCCTGAGATATTAAGTGGTTTTCAGAAAAGCCTTGTATCAGATTATGCTGTGAATGAGAAGGCTGCAACATCTGAATCTGACTCAAAGGCGCTGAACTGTTGGGAATACTATGTTGGAACTGCATAAGGGATTGATTTGCAAGTTTCGATGGATCTAGTGCTGTCATTGTTTGCAGAATGTCAGGTTGCAAACCTAACATAGAAGCATCCATTCTTGGTTGCATAAACGGAGTTGCACCAAATCCCTGAAAATTAAGCGACTGCATCCCTTGATCTCCCATGTCACCACGTAGCCATGAGAGTGGAGAATTCATAGTCAAACCAACATTTGGAAAACCTGAGTGAAAGAGAGGTAAACAAAACACTGAAATTTAGAACTCAACCAAATTTTATCTGGTCTCCCTGGGCAACAAAAACAAGGAGAAACCTTACCAGGGAGAGAAGGTAGTCCAGATGGCCAAGGCCGCTTTAGCCTAAGGGAGAAAGGAGAAGGATACATAGGAAATGTTGTCAGAGGTTCAATTTCCCATAGAGAAACTCTGGGCTGCCTTTCTCCAGCAGTAGATTCATCCCATCCAACCTGCAACAGGAACAGTTGCAAAAGATTATAATTTATATACAGAAGTACCAACAGGCGCATGAAAAATTATAAATTTATGCTAAGATCCAGTAGCATTTAGTTTATCTATTACTTTATAGTTTATACAAATGACCGTTAGTTATAAAACAAACCTTCACAGACCGCCAGTGTGAATTTGGCCAACAAACAGGATCTAGATCACTGATGCCAGTAATTGTGCCCATATACCTAAATCCAAACATATTAAAATGATTAAAATGTGCATATGTGTTTGAATGTGTGTGCGCGCGCATGTGTGTGTCAGTGAGTGAGAGAGAGAATTGAGGGAACTTGGAACAGCTCAGAACCAATTTTCCACTTGTAGCAATGATATTTTTTGAAATACTAACAAAGTTTTCAAGAAATTTGGTATTCCTAAGGCAAAGAAAGCCATTTATTTAAGTAGACAAACCCAACAGCCATATTTGGCACCTTCAGTGCATCCTTCATATTTCTTAATGAACTCAGAAATCTTTACTTAAGCTTGGTTATGGTCTTCATTATAAACTCAAATCAGAGAGGTTAAGACTAGAGAACTAAGCATCTCTGTATGTATCTCGTGTTTTTTTCTCAAAAAAAGGTTGCAATCTATGAAAATTTTCCACTTCAGTACTTTTTTCACCGCGAGACTCGAAAATATAGCCATGAGTTAGGCATATGTTTATGGCTGGCCCTTAAATTAAGTGTTCAATTTTTCTGGAAAATAATCTATATGGTCTTGGAGGAAATCTTCTTGTTTATAGAAAAGCGGGTCCTTACTATCTTACCTCTTATGAATACATAAATGATTGATTGAACTTCCAAAAGCAATTCTTGTTGATGGGCTAATATAACCTATCCTTCCAATGATATGATCCAACAATCCTGAAATCAGCCCGTCGACAAAGAATTGCTTTTAAAAGTTCAACTAGACATCATAAGTCATTCATGTATTCAAAAGAGATAAGATAATAAGGGCCTATCTTTCTATAAACAAGAAGATTTTTTCCAAGACCATATCCATTAATTTTCCAGGAAATAGGACACTGTTAAAACATGATCGAAAAGTAATCCAATCAATATAGTACTATTTAGGTTTTGCATGTAAGCATCCTAACAGTATAAGTACTTGGATATCTTTGTTTGGTAGGAGAGGAAATAATAGCTCAGAGATTTAGATCTGCTAAGTTTGTTTTCTCTTCCTACAAGAGCTTTCCCTGCCTCCAAATCAGATAAAACTTCGGGAAGGCACCTTAGCATAGAGTGCCTTCAAACCCAAGCTCTAACAAATGTTTTTCAACCACCCACCGAAGTCTTCCCTTTTCACATAGATGTCTCTCCCTTTTACTAGAGACCTGGCTCTGCAAGTCAACTTGTCATTCAAATTACTTTAAATAGTACGCGGAAGTCCAAGAAGATAAGACCTACCTACGAACACTTGATTCTTCTGTTTCAAACAGCATCCGGAACCTCATACCAACAGAGATTCGAGTATGATACACTGCTTTAGCATACTTGGCAAGAGGTATGACAAACTCTGATGGGCTGGCCCTGAAATTATGAAGCTAAAAGGTAAAATGTGACTCAACTTTGTTAGCAAATGAAACAAATGCAACAACTTTTACCTTGGATTATAAAATATTGTAAAGCGAGTATTAGTTGCAGTTGCATGAGCTGCTGCAGCCAGGAGACCAATGTGCATGCTATCACTTGACAAGACTGAAGAAGGCATGAGAGTTTGAGGACGATTAGCACGTCGAATCCCCAAAAGCAATTGATTGTTTTCGTTCCTGATAAGAGGTGACAGTACTTGAGCAAAGATAAAATCCTCAACGAATTGACTGGGAGAAATGAGAGTGAGTTCCTTCAATTGCAAATGATTATCCAACTAATTACTGTTAAACCACGCAATACGTGATGCAGGTTTACAGCTAACTTTCTCCAAAAAAATAAAATGATGCAGGTTAGGTTCACAGATAAAAGTTACTGCCATAAAAGATTGAAATCAATTGTAAATTTTTGAAGATTCTCATTTGAGTGGGAGAAATGAGAGTGAGTTCCTTCAATTGCAAACCATTATCCAACTAGTATGGTCAAATGTGATTCTGCACTAAGAATACATATGCAATTTATCTTAGAAAATATAGATCATTTGAAAAGTTCAGGATGCTGGAGCTGAATCTTATGAGGAAATTAAGGACTGAATCTTATACCAGATAAAGATGACTGCATCGCCTGCAACAAGTCTCTTTGCACTCACAAACACACTCCATCCGGTTGTCAATAGATGCCTCTTTGGTTGTCCTAAACATGAGCAACCAATTAGTGCTGGTAATGCTAATGCCCATTTTCATAAATGAAAATCATGTAACCAAAGCGTTTGCATATTTTAAAATCACTTCCTCCACCTAGAAATAAGAGATGTAAAAGCTGAAACAGGTTAAGCAGAATTCCTGAAGGCCCTTAAATCATCAAGTGATGCTCCACTTGTCATTAGATTCAGTATAGTTGCTTCATTCTAATTTTAAAAAGCTTACTAATATAGCATATTAAGTTCATTCAGAGTATGTCTCATCTCTGGTAATTTCCAGGCTAAATGGCTTTAAAGGACCGTAACGTTGGCAAAGATGTAATGCATGCAACTAAGCTCCAGTGCCTTCTCTTGCCTTAAAATTAGCCAAGAAACATCCAGCTAAATTGCTCAGAAATACAATATAAAACATCTTCACACACTCACAAGTGGTCCCAATACCGACCAACCCCTCCCAAACAACACAAACAGAAAAAAGTTATAACATTTAAGGAACCAGATATCAGAACCTCTTGCATTTTCATCTTCTTGTCTGGCCTTTAAGGCTTTGGAAGCTAAATTGACAATGTAAAAGAGGAAGTAACCCTGTATGAGGTGTCGTACTGACACCCTCACTAGTCCAGAAAATTTGCTTCCCAAACTAAAGTCACTCATCCACTAGACTACTCTCTCTCTCTCTCACTCTCTCTACAGATATTCTTTTGGGTTTGAATTGGAAGGACAAGTCAGTAATTATGATGAGGATATAAACATCTCAACTCAATGTTGTGACTTTAAAGTTCCTAAACTTGCAGTAGACCAGAAACCCTAATCCTGAGCTTGAATTTGCTTTTCATTCAGGTGCATTTGGATCATGGTACCAACTACCAAAACACAACTACTACCTCTAAGCTCCAGACTGCACAGAAACTCACCGCGAAAAATATGCCGTAATTTCCATTCGTTCCCATGGAGATCTTTTGCAATCAACTCTTGACAGGGTGGCTGCTGAGAGTAATCCTGAAAAGAGAAAAAACATTCATCATGAGTTTGTTAAACACCATTGAGCACTAGAGGGATACAACAGAAAACAATGCTGATGACACATAACAAAGAAAAAGACCAAAAAAGAAAAGGAATAGAAAAAACATAATGCTGATGGGTATTAATAAAGGGACCTACAAGAGGGGGAAAAACTTTTTCTGCGGCTCGGCGAGGGACAGAGAATCCACCATGAGTACTGGTGTCACTTGCCGTCAAAGTTTTACAGAAATAGTTGGTTGGTTGTTTACTCGGGATGCCAAGTTCTGCCGGTAGCAGGCACACATCCTTCTGCTCTTGCTACATAGAATAAGTCCATTAGCAGAAGATTATTACTAAAACTGATTCGAAAAGATAGGAAGTGACATACTGGACTTAGTGGCTGCAATGTCATTTGAGCATATACTTCATCAGTCTCAACATCTGCCTGTAATTTAAGAACTGTTTAGAATACATTGCGACAGAAAGGTAAATAAATATCACATCACAGCCAAAAAAAACTTACATGCATTGTCAAGTTGTGCAGCTGACAAATTAGTTGAGGCGGTAAACCAGGATAATTAGGGATATGAGCATCTACTTCCTTGTTGGTTGAGGCAGCAACCTGTAAACGGTGTCCAAAACTCAAATCCATGTTTCATAAGGATAACTCTAGAGCTACTTACAGCTAAAACAGGAAGAATGTCTCAAAAAACTCAGTTTGCTAAAAAACTTAAGAGAATTCAATGGCTTGTGGAGCATACTATATTTAGCCACCAACAAACAACCAAAAGTAGAAGAGCAAGCTTGACAAAACATCACATGAAGAAATTAAATATGAACCATATCAAACACCTCAACTTAAATGAGCTACAATGTGAACCATAATATTTACTACTAACCTGCACACTATGCCCTTGAGGAAAATACACAACTCTGCTTCCTACAGGTGGAAGTGAAACTAGTGGTCCTGCACACGCGTGCCACAACTCTGAATTCAAGCATTTCTTCTCCCCTGCTGCTACAATTAAACATAAAATATGAAATATGCTCATTAATGACTGCAAATAATGCTTCACTTCAAGTTCACGAAAACATAAAATAACAACAAACAAACCTTCCTCTGGCTGAGGATTGAACCCAGATGATGATACCCTCATTTCAACAAATCAACAAACTCCTATCAAGCAACTTACTTTTCACTAGTTAAGCCAACAAAGAGCAACCCCAGAAAGTAAAAACTCCAAAAAAATCAATACTTTGCTAGTACAACCCCCCACCCCCACCCCCCCACCCCAAGCAAAAACCAAGAAACAAGAAACCATATTTTTACTCATCCAAACCTAGTTCCACAACTAAACACCACCATCAACAGCTGTTTCATACTTGTCCCGGATCTTCAATTAGTCACTTCAAAATCAAGAAACAACACAAACCCTAAAGACCCTTTTCTTCAAATAAGCTGCAGAAGCAACTGAACCACAGATCTTGAAGTTAAACAAACTAGAAACCCTTAAAGAGCAACATCATCAGTAGTAAAAGAAAAAACTTTTTGGTTACTTCAAGATCTCTACTGCTCTACAGAGTGAGTGAAGATCAAGTAGGCTATTCAGTAGATCTCTTAAGCTGTACTTTTTCCCTTTTTTTTCCTTTATTTTTTGAGTTGATTGGATTTTCTTTTCACATATTGAAAGCTACAGAAGAAAGAAGGAAAGAGCAAAAGGAAAAGGGACCCCAATAATTTAAGGAAGTGAAGATTGTGATGCTTCTAAGGGCCCGTTTGGCCATAAATTTTTCAAATAATATTTGAAAAAAATTCGGTAAATAATGTTTATCCATACAATTTGTCATTATTTGGCAAATATTTTTGGCAAATATCCTAAATTTCCAAATACTAGTTTTTTCTAGTATTTGGGCCAAATCTCATTATTTGGAATATTTTAAAAATTAAAATTTTACCTCAATCTTTTATCTTTTACAAAAACACCCTTTCTAGTTGTTGTTTGTGTTGTATTACATCACTTTTTACGTGAACACCAAAATAGTGATGAAATATTTAGTGAATATTAAATAATGATATGATTGTTGTTGAAAATTATTAAAAATTGACTTTAGGTAACAAAGTCATGTACTTTGTCTACTTCACGATGTATTGGAATAATTCTTGTTGCACTCACTCCAAATTACCACATTGTTTTAGTGTCATGGACATTATTTGTTATTGTTGTAACGAACATTCAATTGACTTGTAATACAAACTTTTATTTAGTTTTGATAGTTTTTAAAACTTGTGTGTATAAATCATATTTTTTCTAAAAAGGTGAGATATATTTCCCAAATTTTATGGCTAAACACATGGTGAAATTTCACCCAAATTTTCACTCAAACGCTAGCTAAGTTTGGGAACTGTTCCTTCACACTCCTTTCCAATTATGAATTATTAAAACACAAAATACTCATATAAAAATACATCATTTGCACTAACATAATTTGCCAATACACCATTCTTCTTCGGTTTTTATTTATATGTTACCATTTTAAATTTTATATTATTTAAAAAGTTATATCATGTTTTAGCATTCTCTTCAACTTAATTTTTTAATTAATGAATATAATTTAATTTAATTTAATTAACTAAATAGACCAATAGACATAAATTAATCATTTAGTTTTCTTAAATTTGTCGAATTCATATTATTCAAAGACCAGATTAATAACTCACAAAAATAAAATATAAAAATAATATTATTTATATATTAATTTTATGAATTAATAAATATTAAAAACTATCTAATTTTAATACGAACGACATATGTAGATGAAGTAATAATTAATTACTACTTACTAGATATCAAGAGTCAGCATTGCCACCGCGGGCTTAATATATATATTAGTCCATTTCTTAGTCTTAATTTATATAATATAATGAGAAAATGCACAATTACACCCTCAATCTATGTCCAAAATTTCAGAGATACACTTATATTATACTAAGGATCTATTACCCCACATAACTTATTTTATAAGTAATTTTCTATCCCTTTTCGGCTTACGTGGCGCTAGACGTTGGACCCACAAGAAAGTGCCACGTAAGTCAAAAAAGGGTAGAAAATTATTTATAAAATAAGTTCAGGGGGTAATAGAACTTTAGTATAATATAAGTGTGTCTCTGAAATTTCGAACATAAATTGAGGAGGTACTTATGGATTTTCTCTAATATAAATAAAATTTGGAGCGTTTAATTTTTTTTAATATATTTTAAATTATTAATTATTATGATTCATATTATTTTTTATGTAATTTTAAAACAATTTAAAATATTTTAAGTTATCACTTATTATAATTTATAATTATGATACTAATTTACATAATTTTCAAATAATAAATGTTAGTTGTTATGTTCAGTTTATGTAGGCATTAATACGATTTGATAGTTAGTTAAAGAAAATGTCTTTCAATTTTAATTTGTTAATTATTGTTATTTAAAATAATTTTTACGTCGTTTTCAAATAATATATGTTACTTCATCTATCTCATTTTATGTAGTACCGATAGAATTTTGAGAGTTCGACAAATTTTGTATATACCTTTTAATATTTCCAATTGTTAATTGTTGCGATTTATAATAGATTTTACATTATTTTCAAATAATATATGTTTTTTTTGTGTGTGTATCATTTTTGTAGCACCGATATAATTTTAAGAGTAAATCTGATTTTATATATATCTTTTTAATATTTTAAAATGTTACTTGTTGCAATTTATAATATTTTTACATAAATTTTAAATTTTTAAATATATATAATGAATCATAAAAAACAAACAAACAAAAAATAGAGTACTTCTAGCCGCTTCTGAAAAATCAAACCTACCATCTAAGAAGGTTATAATTAAGTAGTAACTGATAAAAAATCTTCAAAAATTTGAGCATAAAGTTGCTTAATTTTTTTATTAGAACCTTGTTATAATAGACAGGTCTGAAGCGTTACATGTTTGATTTATGAAAACTTGGTTACTATTTTTTTAAACTTTATAAGTATTTTTGAATTAAAGACTCATAATATTCAAATGTTGAATACTTTAATTATCATAATATGTTAATTAGTTGGGAAAAATAATAAATGCATTCTAAAATATTGTAAATGATATGCAGATATCTATAATTATTTTTCTGGGATATTGATGCATTTGTCGTTCAAAAATTAGAACACATATGTCATTTACTCTAACGAATGATTAAATAAGGAAACGTGATACAATTTTATCTATCGATCGATAAATGTCAGATCGATGATGAGATTATAACACGTATATGTCTGTTATGATAAAGGCATATATGCTCTATTTTTTTTACTACAGGGACACTAATGTCCCAAATGTAAGACGGAGGACATCATACCTCTGACCCTAATTCCTTGACCATCCCAACTCCACCACGTTCTAACCCGGCAACCCCACACCATCTAATATAATACTATTTTGCTAGATTACGTACAAATATTTTTGAAATAATATGTTTTTGCTTATTTATCAAATACAAAATAAAATTAAGAAATCCATTTATTTTCAAATAGAGTAACATATTTCTTCCAACCAAACATGCTTTTAAGTGTAAAAATAAAAAATTTCAAACTTAAAAGAGTTTTTAAATATTTTAAAAAATACTAGTTTTTTTAAAATAAATTAACAAGAATGTTACGTAAAATGACACGTAGAAAACAACAATTCTTGAGTTATTATTCATTGCATAATAATTATGTCTGTTTAAAAATTCCTTCACAAATCATTCATGAGTCAAACGGACAGTACAATTTTCTATTTCATTTATTCGAAATTATTTGAATGGGTAGGTTTCTTTATTTTAACCCATTGAAACTTCCTCTTCTTTTTTTTCACAAAAGATAAAACCTATCGATACTTTAATCACCATTTTAATGAATTGATTTTTTTTTCATAACAACATTTTAAACTATATTAAATCACGATTTTTGGTGCTTTTATATTCAAATTTGAATAGTTATTTTTTAAGACTAAAAATTTGTACATAAGTACATATGTAAATTATGTAAAAATCCAAAGCATTAACCTTCCTAGTTTGAATACGAACATTAATTTCAGGTAGGTCTCATCCGAGTATTACCAGTCTAATGATTATTTATTCAAACATAAGTTGAATTAAAGGAAAGTATTAATGTTAGTTTTTTATTTTCTGATATTTGATACTCTCTTTGTTCGCTTTTATTTAATTTGTTGAGTTTTATTGTCCAAAAGTTAAATAATATAATTTTTTTTAATTTTTTCATATCTATATTTTTATTATATTAATATGAAAAAAAATTGCAATCCATACTATTTTCATATAATATTTTAATATTTGACTTTTATTATTTCAAAATTAAACGAATCTAATTCAATTTGGATTTCGGAGATTGAAGTAAAACTCAACAAGTAAAAAGGGAAAAAAAAGAGTGAAGTAAATATAAATTACAAAAGAAAAAAGAAGTAAACATATCTTTAAACTATGTGAAAATTAAATGAAATGTCCTTCGTTAATAATGTGATCCATAAATATCTTTACAGTTAATGAGAAAAAATATCCTTCTCTTAATAATTAGTAGTATTTTTTTCTTCTAACCACTAATAAAAAATGTCATTACCAAAACACTCTATTCTTGTTTTTATCAAATTTAAAATCACTTTTAACTAATAAAAAGTAAAAATAATATTTTTTTCTTGTTAATCTCTTTTCGATGATTTAATAGATCAATTTCATGTACCTTTTTAATTAATAATATAGTTCACACATATATAATATCATAGTGACCCAATCATAATTTTTATATAGATACCAACAAACAATTTCTATAGAATAAATATATTTTTATTTCTTAATTTTTCGAATCGAAGTAGGAAAATCATTTTCAAACAAAATCAATAGAAAAAAAATCATCTTAAAAGAAAAATATTTACTTAAAAAGGGAATTTTTTTGACCTATTACATAATAATATGGATATATTTGAATTAAATTATTGAGAATGAAAATATATTTAAATATATTATTAAATAAAGATATTTTTATTTAATTTTATCTAATTTTAATTTTTTGATCCATTACAATAAAGGCAAGCAAAAAGAGAAACATTTTTATAACATTGAACCCACTGTATTATTAAAATTATAGATTCATATCGTCTACTAT